GTTGAAATTTTGAAATGGGCCAAGGGGTAATTGGACCGTTTTAGAATGGGCCAAATTTTGATTTGGTCCAGAACACAAATAAGCGTATAAAACAGATTTTTCCTTTTGTCTTCATTCTCTTTTGTAATCAATTTGCGATAACAACCGTTTACATATTGCACTAAATTTGGCTGCTATAACTGATCATTAATCAATGTGTACGACTATGCGGAAAATTCTAGCGCTTTACAGTCAGAGCATACATAAGGCTTCCAATGACACTCTGACAACGGCGTGGAGGTTCCCGATCTCTTTTGCTAAGTGTGCTGGACCTGGCACCTATAGTTGGATTCAATACGGAGAGTATCACATGTTTGTGTAAGTAAAACGTATAAACAGGGCTGAGTTGGGCGCGCAAGACCGCGACTCTTCTTTTAACACACTAAACATACGAAAAACATCTAGCCATGGACGTGAGTGCAAAAGTAATGGAGAGAGGCGAGTTCTTATGGAAATACAGTAGAGACTATTCCAGCGCGACCTTGCAACAGGCGGAAGATGCATACAAAGAATACCAAGACTTCTATGCTCAATACCATCAAAAGAAACCTGGCGCGACCACAAACTGCTATGAAGAATACATCAAGACTAAGCAAGGTAAGCAAACACGTTTACTGGGAGGAGAAGAGTTTGAATACTGTTACTGGTTTTGTGCTATATTGCAAGAGAGAGAGGCAGTTGGGCGTTATTAGTTGGCCGTACGGCGGGTAGAGCTGCGTCGTAAAGACATTACGGGGTTCGTAGCAGTAACATGGAGAGAGAATAGTTGGAATGCATTACAAACACGGGCATTGGGAGGAGTGTAGAATAGGGCTGTGGAGCCGATCATAGCAGAGTTAGGTTATATTGGAGAGAATAGTTCGAGTGCATTACGACATGCGTTGGGATTGGGACATAGAGCAGAGTCGTAGCAAAGGTTGGGTTATACGTAAACCCGTTTGGAGGTGATCTGGAGGAGAGAAGAGACGTTAATAGTAGAGACGCAAGAGGGAGAATGTTCGAATGCTGTTGTCGCATGCATTCTATATGTTTAGTCTCCTTTATTCCACTTGTCATCTGCGCTTGAATGTCGGCAAACTGTCTGTGAACTAAATATTTTTTTTTGCACTTCTGTTTTACTACCACAGGACCTCGAGGAAGATTAGGTATGGAGTTACATTTCGTCTTTTGTATTCATACGTTTTGTTCTTATCTCATAACTTTCGTGGTCTGATAGGAGGGCTAGGTGGCACGATTATATCTGGTGACGAACTTGGCGATGGGTACGAGGGCGTTGATATTACACGTGAAACTGTATGCCGAAGAATACCGACCACAGACAGATTACTCAAATGTTTGCTCGATAAGCGTATTATCCTAGTTCGCTCCCCGCCAATGGCCGGAAAAACGACTCTTGCTCAGCTGTTCGAGCATACTTTACTTCAATCAGAAGAGACGAAGAAAGGATTACGACGTGTTTTCCGCATTTCGTTACTATGGATGGTGCGTTTTGGTGAATCGTGGGCTTTTGCTGAACAATTTCAGTACCTTATGAATGGTACCAGCTGGGCAGATTTCGTTCGTAAAAGCGATGTCGAAACAATTCTTATTATTGACGAGATCCAAAAGATCTACAAACCGCAGGGTGAAAAAACTGAACCTCTACATGGCGGTAAGGCGTTTTGGGATGTGTTCAAGAATATTCAACAGTATAGCAGACTTCGTATTGTTGCATTTGCGTCCTACGGATACCATGGCGCTTATGAAGAAAATGGACGACCAATGGAGATTTCCCCGTATCATCTTGATAAGGACAATATCTGGGATTTCGAAGACGTGCGCTATACTCCATGTGAGTTTGAAGACTACTTTAACCGTTTTTGCAAGCATAAACTCAAAACGTTGGGAGAAGCGGATGCTCCACTACTTTCTCAATACGTGCAAGAGGCAACCGCCCGCCATCCTGGTCTGGTAGCATTCATGATGGATAAGATTAATGAACGATTCATCAAGCATGAATCTTTGACTTTCGCAAAGATCTTTAATTATATCAAATCATATGGATTTCATGCGGCCTTCAAAGTAAGTAGAGGATATGTTTTTAAATATAAGGATTTGCTATATTCATATACTGCTAAACTTATTTCAGGGTATTCGTGCTGCTCCACGCTTAAGTAATATGACTGATGAGGAGAAAAGTCTTGCGGATGCTGTCCTTTTTAGAAAAGGAGGGATCAAACTACGCCGTGATGCAATCCCAAATGATGGACGTATCGTTAAAACGAACATACTTACTGACACTAATCATGCTTCAGCGGATGGTGATTCAATTCTTGACTTCCCGGCACCCCTGCTTCGGGCTATTTACTTACAGGATCGTCTTGGTGGACAACCTCGAGCTGAAGTAGAGCCTAAGACGTTCAGAGAGTTCATTGTTCTGGTCTTTGGGGCAATGAATCCAATGACATTACGAAAGAGTTTAGGTGTGGGTAGAGATGGTCGGCTTCTTGAGCGCGTATGGCAGATGGAGTTTTATCGCGCAGCGATGCAAGTTCTTCCTGTCGATACACATGCGTCAGTAGATGTTGGAGCAGTCTTTGGGTCAGATGGGTATTTGGATTTCTATGTTAATGATAAACGTAATTGGGCTATTGAGCTTCTACGGGATGGGGATGTGTCGAGGGAACATCAACAGAGGTTCCACGAAGATGGTCTATATTCGTCAATTCTTCAAGCCGCAAAGGAGTGGGCAATTATAGATATTCGGCAAAAAAAAGAGCTTCCACAACGATTTGAACGGAATTTTATCTACGTTCGTTGTTCTGAGACATTTGAGAATGTTACCTTGAAATTTGCTGACAGAACAGAGCAACTAGTTACGTTGTCGGGTACAAATCAATTACTTGAGATAGATATTTCTTCTCTGAGAGTTGACCATTAGTTGTACTTGAGGTCGTTTGATATTATGTATTTACTATATCGATATACATTTGGTTATATTCTCCTGTAATTATGAAGATCTTTTGCAAGAAGATCTGTATCCTCTTTCTATCGCTTGATAATAGCAACGTTTAATAATAATAAACTGTAAAAACGACAACCATAATCTTCATGTCCTGAGAATCAGTTCGTCGCACTTGCTTCCATTATGAGTCATAATATCAAGAATTTCGGTTCGTCAAATAATAATATTGATAAATATAATTTTCCATGATACGCAGTGTTACACAGTGAAACCGGATATAACGAAGGAGACCGTGCAGACACTTTTCTTCGTTATATCGAGGGATTCGTTATACCCGGGTTTTCATATGTATATATATATAACTATCTAATTATGGCAATACACATTGTTATATGAAGAAATTCTGTTATATCTTTATTGTAGACG